ATAATATGTTTCATGTTAAAAGATGTATATGAAATGTACATTTGTAAAGATATATTTCGGTATAAACTGTGTTAATACATCTTTAAAGATATATATATTATATATAAATATAGAAAATCAACCTAAAAATGTTAAGAGCAGATCTGATTCTTTACTTCCTCCCCGACCGGGGCTGGAACCTGTACATTTCACTTCATACTTCTACGACAACACCGCCTAGCATTGCGCAGATACCTTACCCCCTCCTCTAACTATATAGTTGATTAAAAATCATCTTTCGTTTCGGTAGGTGTTACCTTCTCGTAGGAATTAAACAAGGACGTCTAAACACAATACACAAAGTATTTTTAAGTGTACAAAAATGATCATCTACTCATCTCTTCAGTAATATATATATATAAATTTTCTCAGATGTATCTATAAATAAGAAGATGTGGTATGGGTGCCAATTAGACAACTATCCATATAAGTCATAATGTGTAACAGTAAACCATTATAGGTCAAAGAACGGCCTTCAACACGGAGCCTTGGCTCACACCGAACTGCAAGCTATAAAGGGCCCCAAAAAGACTAGTGTAAACAATTCAATCAGGAAAACCAACGGTCTAATCTATAAAAAAAATCGAGAAACGAGAAACACTTATGAACCACACCAACAAACGACAACATGAAAAGTTTACATGCATCTTAACCGGTATACATTTTATTAAATACATATCAAGATTAATTGTATTAAAGTAGTTGTGTAGGTTGTATTCTAAACTTTCTTCCTTTACTAATTTAAAGTTTCAAATCAAATTTGATTTCTACGATCAATATACCTACAGTGGAGATCACTTCGTACTTCACATTAGAACTGTCAGAATAATCTGTCATAGAACTGTTCTAAACTGTCCTAAAACAGTTCTACCTACAACAGTTCTACCCTAGAACTGTTCTAAGTAGAACTGTCAGAATCAGTTCTAGGTAGAACTGTCAGGATCAATTCTAGGGTAGAACTGTCTAAAACTGTTCTAGGTAGAACTGTCCAAATCCGTTCTAGTCGTAGAACTGTCAGCAGAACTGACCAAATCATTTCTTACCGTAGAACTGTCAGCAGAACTGACTAAATCAGTTCTAACCGTAGAACTGCCAGCAGAACTGTCTAAAACTGTTCTAGCCGTAGAACTGACCAAACCTGTCAGGATTGTAGAACAGTTCTAAATGACGTCACTGCAATTTTTTAATATATATTTTATTCTTTTGACTTATTTATATTAAAGAAAAAGAGTTCTTAAAACTGTTCTATGGATGGATGGAACAGTTCTTAAAACTGTTCTATAGATAGAACTGACTAAATCAATTCTAGCCGTAGAACCGACCAAATCAGTTCTAATCGTAGAACTGTTCTAGTCGTAGATCTAGAACTGTTCTAGTCGTAGAACTGTTCTAGTCGTAGAACTGTTCTAGTCGTAGAACTGTCTAAAACTGTTCAGGGTAGAACTGTCAGGATCAGTTCTAGGTAGAAATGTCTAAATCAGTTCTAGGTAGAACTGACCAAATCAGTTCTAGGTTAGAACTGTTCTAGCTAGAACTGTCTAAAAGGTGTCAGGATGACAGTTCTACATACTGTCCTAGAACAGTTCTCCTGACAGATTCTGACAGATTTTATGAGAGGTTAGAAGTGATCTCCACTGTATATAAGTTTATACAAGCTATCCTATAGTGGTCAATGTGAAAGATTATTCATAATTTTATGAATGATTGTTTAACACACCACTTCATAACAATTGACTCGGTTTCTTTGTTCGCGTAGCGGATGCTATATTTTCATTTACTACACCACAGCTTGACGACTGTTAGTCCTTTTTATTTTGTCTAAACCCATATCTGCTTTGCACCCAAATGACAGTTTTTCTACTATAAGATAAGATAAGATAAGAAAACTTTATTTTGATTCGGCATGGTTTAAAACATACAAACATAAGCTCTTGAGAGCTTTTCACCGAATATATAAAACAAAACACATAACATAAAACAGATATACATACACATACAGACATAGAATGAATATGATATACATGCAAGGCAATCAAAGCATACTTATATAAGCAGAACATATAAGCACACATAAAATGAATAGAATAGCCATGCAAAGCAATCAAAATCATTAAGCACTATAAGCAACTACAAGAAATGGAACTTTTGAAAGAGTGGCCGACTTTTGATTATCACTACCTGTACAAAAAAACATTAATCAATGACCATTTATTTTTGTGGGAATTGTCTGCATCTCTGTAAAAGTGATAATATACAAATAATCAAACAGAAAACCGATTAGAGGGTGGGTTGAGCGCTCACAAACATGTTTAACCCCGCCACATCCTTTATGTGTTTGTCCCAAGTTAGGAGCCTGTAGTTCAGTGGTGGTCGTTGGTTCATGTCTGTCATATTTGTTTTTTGTAAATTGTTTTGTAATAAATTAGGCCGTTAGTTTTCTCAATTGAATTGTTTCATATTTTTCATGTCGAGGCCTTTTATTGCCGACTATACGGTATAAGTTTTTCTCATTGTTGAAGGCCGTACGGTTGCCTATAATTGCTTTACATCCACTTTATTTGAACTTTGGTGGATAGTTGTCTCATTGGCAATCATACTACATCTTCTTATTTTTATATTAGTATGAATCCCTACCATTTCCATGAAAAATATATTTACGTTTATTATAACGATCACTAAATTGACAAAAAAAAGTCATTCTATTATTTAAACATGTTAAGGATCCCATGATCTTCCTTTGCACTTAAAACATTATATTTTTAGCTGCCAAATACGCTTTGATTTATAATGCAAACCATTGAATCATGATTGATATAACGGTTACTGATCCGACAAGTCATTGATGATGTAGTGCGACAGTATTGTTTATTGTAAAACATCATTGCGTCAAAGATCAAATGAACTTGCTGTATAGGAAAAAGGTCAAATGTCGTGTAAATTCTAGATACGTTAAGTAAATATTGAATCATGGCGAATTTGTAGATTGTCTAGATTAAGGATGTACTCAGGTGAGGTTTATGAATTTTTGTCAGATGGGGTTTTTTCTACGATACAGGGTAAAATATTTTCCCCCATATCACCCACTTTTCTTTTCATAGAAGACTTCAATAGCTCATAAAAAAGGTCATTACCAAAATTTAATAGGTTCTAGATTTTTTTCTTACGATTTGACACCCTATAAATGCTAATGCTAAGTGTAAGGTAAAAGTCCAAGTCATCCTTTTCCCGCCATTTTTAAAAAATCAAATATCTCAAAAAGGAGTTCCATAACCTATTCATATTTTTAGCTTATTTTTATTCCTTAACTAATGTTCTTCTGACTTATAGTATCAATTTTAAATTCTAGATTTTTTTTAATTTCACCTTAGTACATCATTAAGGCCCATATTAGCATCCATGTGGTATTAATTGTTGGAATGGATTTGTTTTTTTTTTAACTTGTATGAGGGTCTGGATGGGGTTTACAGAATAGAGAATAAGGGGTTTACAGAATAGAGAATAAGGGGTTTACAGAATAGAGAATTATCGGTAAAAGTGCAGAATAAATGGCAAAAAAATAAAGAAAAGAGAAAATAGGTAAAAAGAATGAAGAATAGAGAATAAGCGGGTGCCAAATTGTAAAGAACAGAGAATAATGGGTAAAATAAATAAAGAATAGAGAATAACGGTCGAAAGAATTTAAGAAGAAAGAAACGTAGGACCCCATCCAGACCCTCTTATATGAGTGCTAACTGCAATCTTATTTAAGGAATGACTGTAATATTTTTTCTGTCTATGAAGATAACATGTTTGTGGTGCACACTGAATAAACCGCGTAGCGGGTTATTTAAAAGTGTGCACCACATTTTTTAGGTTATTTCGAATAGACAGAAAAAATATTACAGTCATTCCTTATAATTTAATTCTAACTTCCATTTTTAAGGAATAAATTTTGAAAAAAACCTTGGTGACGTCACGGTTTCTATGAGCTGATAGACAAAACACTTTCAGCCAATCAGAAGACGTGTTACATTCAAAATTAAATTATAAGTTAATAAATATTGATAAAAAAATGCGAACTGATAAGACCGCGAAAGTAGACTAGCAACTAGAAATATGGTAACCTTGACTTCTGTCATCAAACAAATACACATGATAGTAAAATCCATGCATAGAGAATGAGAGAGGGGGTGCCCGTTTGGCTGTTCATGACGTATAAAACGCAGTCACGTCCGATCGGAATTGGGACGTAAACTCCGAATCCTCCTGATAATAGAGTGCTACGGCCTCTGTACGTTAAAGAACCCTTGCTACAACTCATTTGGGGGTCTGTAGGAGGATTGTTCTAGGGCACTAAACCATTTGCCCATATCCATCATATCCCTTTTTGCAGTGGCCGTCCTGATCTTTATCCCGATCGACATACCTTACAAAAATACCTATTGATTTTTTTGATGAATTTGTTCGTTTCCTGAACATGCATGACATTTTATCTACTCGACGTTAATAAAAAACAAATCATTCAATCAATCATCTACGGTAAAATTACTATTTGAATAGAATTTCCGGTGCTAGGGCGGGATATTTGTATTGCTTATGCAATCACTAGTTTTCCAGTAGTTTTCTGTGTGGTGTTTCATGTACTCTTATATTAGTTTTTATTTGGTCCTTTTTCTTTCGGTCATGATGTTGTTAAAATGGGGTTTAAATTTTTCAATGACTAAAATCAGATTGTAAACGTAAACTCCAGGTTTTTCTTCCAAGCAAGTATCGGAGAGTGTGGAGTTAAAGGTAAATTCATTTTTGTGTGGAAAATATTTAATGAAATAAATTTTCGATGAACATATTAGTCCATAAGCTACGGGCTAATGCGACAAATTGTCGTAAATTAAGCTAATAATATCTCCATGTGAATTTTTACAAATGTCATATATTGATTTTAGTTATACTTGTATAAGATATTATCTTTAGGCTAACGGAATGCATGAATGATACGTGTACAATATGGGCCCTATCTATCGTGTCCTATTTATTTATTTGATTTTCTTGTTGCTTCTGTGTTTGAATGCCGAACAGATTTTAGACAAACAAAATGATGATTTTGACTTTGATGGACTGCCAGGAGTTACGTACGAATTTAAAATAGAAGTTTATTCTGGACGAGAACAGTGTTTTTATCAAAAAATTGCGAGTGGAGCTACTGTGCACCTGTCATTTAAGGTAAATCATAGCAGGTAACGATACTATACTTCTGTCCATTATAGCGTGCATTCGCGATTTTAAAAGATTCATACGGCATAGAATATGCGCATACACATACCGCTCACATATTTAATTTGCATTGAAATTACTGCAGAATATTAACAATTGTACTTATGTGTAGAAACATACATTTTCTTCCAAATGTCAAATTAGAAGTTGAATAAATTAAGAATATTAATTACACTACAACTGCAACCACTTAGCAAAGGGAGAGAACTTAATTAATGCCACTTTATACTCACTTATATTTTGTATATAAACAGCAAGTTTGCACAAACAAAATATGTTCATCACAATATTCAGTTTTTATTTAAAAACATGGTAAGGTAAACTATGTTATGTAATCAATTAAGTTTATTATATTACAAATAGATAAAGCTGTATATTTATATTACTAAAACATAATACGAAATTTTAATTTGGGTGAATTTCACGTATCAAATATTCAATTTTCAAAAACACACCGTGGCGTTAACAACGTGCAAATTGTGTGAAATTCACTAAAATCTAATGAGACAAAATTTGTAAATAAAATTATCTGAAATATAAGCTAATTTCACATCCAGCCACATTAAAAAAAAAATAACGCGGAAAAGTTATTCAGGATGAATTCAAGTAAACGTTAGCCGGTGTGTAAAGTAATTCATCTGATATTACTAACCAACATAGTAGTTAGTTACTTACTTACTTACTTCCTTACATACTTTATATATTCATTTCATATATTTTGTATACAGTAGAACATGCTTAAGAGACCACCCGTGTTGAGCAAAAAAATACGTCTTATAAGACCATTAATTTAAGGTCTCTCTGTAGTGCATTTCATATTGATTGATTGAACCTGTATTCAAATACCACATGTCTTATGAAACCACGTTTTTGCTCTCCTTTAAGTGGTCTCTTTTAAAATACAAGTTTCACTGTACAGTCGACTCTAGAGCCGACCAGAGAAATATTTCGAGATACTCGTAATGTATTTTGATGAGGAGTTGTTCTTTAAACAGGTACTGCGTGGATCTGACAGACTAGTTGATGTGTTAATATGGGACCCAACAAGGAATATTCTGGACTCTAAGTACTCTGTGTCTTCAGGTTTATTTGAAAAAGTTTTAACTGTTGAAGGTAAATAACGTTTTTTTTTAACTTTGTGATTATACAGTTAATCTTTGCATTGCTTGCAACATACAATAGTGAACCATAATAAAATAATCAAAGTAAAAGGATCCCGAGAGGGGATTCAGTCATAAATAGTAAATGAACAAACTACAACATGACCCCCCTCCTCCCCCGAAAAAACAACCGAGAAACACGAACCCATTAAAAATGTTGACGAACTCGGGAAGTGAAAGTCGTTCCTGTTCAATTTGCAGGACCTGTCGTGTCGGATTTTATACTGTAGGTGTATGAATCACACGTGGATTTTGCTGTTGGGATGTCCTATATAAATTCAAATTAGTCTACATATAATGTATGATGCATGATAATATTTGTATAACTTTAGACACTTACTATTGTTAATACAAAATATTGTCTGTAAATTATCAAGAAAAAAAGAAAACAAAAACACAAAAGAAAAGAGAGAGAGAGAGAAAGAAAGAAACAAGTCACAAAAACAACATTCATTTTGTAATAACAAAAAGCTTATAATTTACGATTGTAGTTTATACATATTTTTCAGGTATATATACCATATGTATAGACAATGTTGCTAGCAAGTCCATGTATGGCTCAAAATTAGTATATTTCTACATGGGGACATACTTAATGGCAGATTGGGATAAATACCTACAAGAAATAGAAGGAGTCACTTCCACGGTTTCAAACTTTACTGCAAGTACTTATTTACTTTCCATTATCGGAAACATAAACAATGGGAAATACGCAATGTTTTTTACCGTTACTGCCGGTTTTGAACAGAGTGTCTATTTATTTCCCTTCTGCAATTCTCAATGACGTTTTTTAAGAATGTAACAATTAAACTGAGTCTACTTTTCCCCGTCTGTAATCCTAAATGACGTTTTAAAATAACAGATAATACTTCAGAATAATAATCCAAAGATAGTATTTATTAGTTTGTCAAAATAAGAATTGAAGCAGTTATGTTTAAGGAATAACATTTTATGAGGTATCCCTTATTGACAATGAAACATCATGGACCGGCCGTAAATACGACTGTACATGCTGTATCTCAAGACTCCGTATGCATTTTTGATAAAGCGTTAACAGACAGGGAATGATAATTATTTTGGTCAAATAAATTGATACGCTCATTGACCGAATACTTGTAAGCGTATATACTTGACTGCCTTTTAAAAAATCAAAACGTTTTTGGCTTGAATTGAGTGAAAAAAAAATCACAGAATTATTCTTTACATACAATCGTGCCATTTGTTAGATAAAAAAATAAGAAAAATATTCCATTGAGTCGTTACACCTATCAATTTGGACTAAAACTGATTATATAATGAAATACATACTGGCTTTCTGATACGCTTTTCAATATACAACTGTACGTGGGTGTACTCGCTAGGTTTTAAACACATATAAAACTTCGTTTATATGGTGTGTTATATAAAAGAAAACAATCAAGTCTTAATTTATTGCACGCTAAAGCTATTTATAAAAAATTTAATTTTAATTTTTTTCTTAAAGTTTACAAGTAATTAAATGTTTAGTGGGTAACGAAATAAAAACTATAATATTTCAAATTTTCAGAGGACAGTGTCTTCGGTCCAGAACTCAATAGAGGAAGTCAAACAACACCAAGCATATTCCAGAATGAATGTTATAAAAGACTATTATCTCATCATGGGGAATAATGAATATGTAAAATGGTGGTCCATATTTCAAATATGCATCGTCATTTGTACTTCCGGTTTTCAGGTATTTTGCTTGAGGAGACTTTTTAGGGTTCCAGATGTTACAGGAAAGTCGAAACCGCGTGCTTAAACAGTTGAATTTCACTCTGAGTGTGTTCGCCATGTATTAAAAGGCACTTGGAAGAAATGGCGGGGATGACCATCCTTTCTTGATAACCTTAGAATTCCATATATACGTGTACGGAATTAAAGAAAGATGAACTCATCTTCCTAAGTTATGTTATTATTCACTTTTATACCCAGAAATGTAGTACACAATGATAAGCAAATAAAATGTTGAATTCGATATTTTCATCCGGTTCTTTATTTTTGTATCTTTTTTGCTTGTGACAATTAGAAGGTAGACCACATCCTTTTATAGTGAGGATTAATTTAGTTAAAAGTGTTATTCGAAACAGTATATTTTTCTTCTGCCTATACGAGGTCTATTTTCTGCAATCTCTGCTACTACACAGTACACAATTTTATTTAGGGGCCGGCTGAGGACCACCTCCGGGTGCGGGAATTTCTCGCTGCGTTGAAGACTCATTGGTGGCCTTCGGTTGTTGTCTGCTCTTTGGTCGGGTTGTTGTCTCTTTGACATATTCCACCAGACTCAAGCTAGCGACCAATTCCAGCGACCAATCAAGCTAGCGACCAATTCTATCGACCACTAAAGTTAACAATGAGAATCAACACGTTAGAGAACCATTCAGAGATATGTCTGAAAATCACAAATTGACAATATGCTACAACGTTCTTCTGATAAGAAATACGTAATATATCGCTTTTAAATGTTTAATAGACCACATATGTCTACATTTGCAATAAATAGGGGACGGAAGAATAAATATATATTCTTTTTAGAAAGGATAAAGTAATTAATTTTGTATAAATATTACTTTGGAATTCAATCTTTCTAACAATTAACGTGAGTAACGTGGTTGCTCAAGGCTTATGCTTTAAATCAGTTGTTCAGTATTTGAAGATTTTATATTACATGGCATTATACACTTATATGAAATCGAGATCTTCCTTCCTTGCCGAAAAGGAAAGAAAAAAAAACAAGGAAAAACAAAAAGCAAAAACAAAACAAGTTAAAAAAAATAAAAGTATCTATGTTATTTGTTTGCGATACTTTAAACTAAGATTTTTAATGTGTAACACTAGCTACATATAGTATAGATGAATTAATAAAAGGCCATCTTAGTACATAACGGCTAAACCAAGCCTCAAGATTCAGCGGTGTATTGAGTATTGTAGAACATATAAAAATAATCTTAGTACATTAGTATAGATGTCTATTTACGGTGAGATATATAAACAGTTAAACTGAACAAGAAAGACACTATATGTGCGGTAGATAAATTCATATAACAGCTTTCTGTACTCTCGGCATCCTCAAATATCGTGTATTTCCTTAAAACCCTTTAGGTAATGAATTACTGTATAGGCCCGGTTAAAAAGACATATAAGAAAGTAGTACATATTTCAAACGAAATAGTTCCTACGCATATAGCTAAAACTTTGTCAATAATTAACATATTTGGTTTATTTTGGTATCAAATGAAAGCTTAATCACTTGGGATCACTAAAGGACCATTGTTGAAAGTCTCCTTTGAATAATAGAAAAAAAGAAATTATAAAGCAGGGCATATTTGCCCTGTTGCTGAGATTTTGCTCAGTACCTGTTTTTGTACTTCGATATTTCCGGGAACCAATGCGCACATAAAGGTATGTCGAATTGTTCCAGGAGAAGTAAGGGTAAAGTATAATTGACAATTACCGCCACATAATTTGAAATTAGGGCAATAATTATTAGTTTTACCCTATTGGATAAAAGGGCCGGTGCACATTTCCACCCGGGCATTTTCATGAATAAAAGGGTCTGGGACAAGCTTTCAAGCCCACTAGGTGTGGGTAAAAGCTTTGCCGTAGGGAACTGTACACAAAGACTGAAAAATGTGCCCATACCCGTTATTAATAGGTAACTTAGACTTTGGGTGGACAGTGAAGTCTTCAGGTGCACTTTCCCACCCAGGTATTCATATGAGTTGAAGATATGAATATTAGCTTTCAATCTAACCACCTGGGGTCAAGAACTTTGCCGTAGGGAAACGGGAGGATAGCGATTCCTGCCACCACCCCTGTGCTGAAAAAATGAGAAATTTGGTATGTTGTTGTGAGCTTCCGGTGCACTTTCCCACCCGGGCATTTTCATGAATAAAAGGGCCTGGGACAAGCTTTCAAGCCCACTAGGTGTGGGTAAAAGCTTTGTCGTAGGGAACTGTACACAAAGACTGAAAAATGTGCCCATACCCGTTATTGATAGGTAACTTAGACTTTGGGTGGCCAGTGAAGTCTTCAAGTGCACTTTCCCACCCAGGTATTCATAGGAGTTGACGATATGAATATTAGCTTTCAATCTAACCACATGGGGTCAAGAAATTGCCGTAGGGAATCGGGAGGTTAGCGATTCCTGCCACCACCCCTGTGCTGAAAAAATGAGAAATTTGGTATGTTGTTGTGAGCTTCCGGTGCACTTTCCCACCCGGGCATTTGCATGAATAAAAGGGCCTGAGACAAGCTTTCAAGCCCACTAGGTGTGGGTAAAAGCTTTGCCGTAGGGACCTGTACACATAGACTGAAAAATGTGCCCATACCCGTTATTAATAGGTAACTTAGACTTTGGGTGGCCAGTGAAGTCTTCAACTGCACTTTCCCACCCAGGTATTCATATGAGTTGAAGATATGAATATTAGCTTTCAATCTAACCACCTGGGGTCAAGAACTTTGCCGTAGGGAAACGGGAGGTTAGCGATTCCTGCCACCACCCCTGTGCTGAAAAAATGAGAAATTTGGTATGTTGTTGTGAGCTTCCGGTGCACTTTCCCACCCGGGCATTTTCATGAATAAAAGGGCCTGGGACAAGCTTTCAAGCCCACTAGGTGTGGGTAAAAGCTTTGTCGTAGGGAACTGTACACAAAGACTGAAAAATGTGCCCATACCCGTTATTGATAGTTAACTTAGACTTTGGGTGGCCAGTGAAGTCTTCAGGTGCACTTTCCCACCCAGGCATCATATGAGTTGAAGATATGAATATTACCTTTCAATCTAACCACCTGGGGTCAAGAAATTGCCGTAGGGAATCGGGAGGTTAGCGATTCCTGCCACCACCCCTGTGCTGAAAAAATGAGAAATTTGGTATGTTGTTGTGAGCTTCCGGTGCACTTTCCCACCCGGACATTTTCATGAATAAAAGGGCCTGGGACAAGCTTTCAAGCCCACTAGGTGTAGGTAAAAGCTTTGCCGTAGGGAACTGTACACAAAGACTGAAAAATGTGCCTTTTCCCGGGTGGGAAAGTGCACCAGAAGCTGACAACCACATTCCCAATTTCGAATTTTTGTCCATTCCGGGTGGTGGCAGCTGTCGCTTTACTCCCACTTCCCTACGGCAAAGTTCTTGACCACAGGTGGTTAGATTGAAAGCTATTACCCATATCGTCAACTGGTATGAATACCTGGGTGGGAAAGTGCACCTGAAGACTTCACTGGTCATCCAAAGTCTAAGGTACCTATCAGTAATGGGTAGGGGCTCATTTTTCAGTCTTTCTATACAGTTCCCTACGGCAAAGCTTTTACCCACACCTAGTGGGATTGAAAGCTTGTTCCAGGCCCTTTTATTCATGAAAATGCCTGGGTGGGAAAGTTCACCAGAAGCTGACAACCACATTCCGAATTTCGAATTTTTGTCCATTACGGGTGGTGGCAGCTGTCGCTTACTCCCACTTCCCTACGGCAAAGTTCTTGACCACAGGTAGTTAGATTGAAAGCTATTACCCATATCTTCAACTGGTATGAATACCTGGGTGGGAAAGTGCACCTGAAGACTTCACTGGTCATCCAAAGTCTAAGGTACCTATCAGTAATGGGTAGGGGCTCATTTTTCAGTCTTTCTATTCGTAAAATTGAATCTAAAGCTTCGTGTAGAAAAAAATGTTTGTAAACATTGCATTAATTTCTGGACCTATGGCCGGTCTAGCTATGAAAATACGGAGAGTGAAACAGAAAATAGCCCGTTAAACATGTTAAAATAACCTTGATGTTCTTATAAACCATCTTTGAAGGCTAAATTAGTACTCAGCTGTCTAAAAATGAATTTTATTGCACAATAACTTTCATATTTGTAAAATCCATCGGGGCCAAAATGCGAAACCAAACTTATAACTGTGTATTGCTACCTTCATGTGTTCATACACTGATTCCCAGAAAATCGGAAATACAAAAACAGGTACTAAGCAAACCTGAACTACAGGGGAAATATGCCCTGCTTTTTTTCCTTATTATTATTAGGGATGTCAACGAGTACTCGAGTACTCGAGTATCGCTCGGTGGTACCGAGTATCGATTACCAAAATGATACTCGACTAATCGGTTTCATATTTGAATGTTGTTGTTTTCTTAAGCTTAAACAAACAATATTTTTATTGAGAGCCTTTCCGAGAAATTAAACATTAATCACAATAAATAAAAATTAGAATAGGATTCGAATGTTTGCGCTTAATTGTCATTTAAAATCTCTCCAAACATAAGTAGGCTATGAACAAGAGCACATTTCCAAAGCTTACACTTAAGGCTAATCGTGTCTTAGTTATCCCACCACCTCTGTACCGACAAAACATATATTTTCATCAGCAGAACTGTTAGTTACCTAACAAAGTTGAGAAATCGCCTCGTCCAAGAAAAAGTTGACATAATGATATTTTTAAATAAGAACAAATTCGTTGCACCCTGTGTCGACCCTCAGAAAATCATCACCTCTTTGTTGATAATTAAATGTGTATTTTTAAGGTTCCCAAATACTGTTGTCTGAGTAATCATTTTTCTATTGATATTAATTAATTACTTGATTAGATTATTGCTAGTTTACATAAATAGTACATGTAGTAAATCTAATGAGCTGTTAATTAAGGTATAAAATTCCTTAGACTATTATCTAGGTAATGATGTTGAAGGTTTTACGTTCATAAAACAACGACCCACAATACATATATATATTAAAATGGGTATAATTTTATGTTTCCATTTTGTAAATGTGTTACCGAGCGAGTACTCGAGTATCGCTCGGTAAATCCAACGAGTACTCGATTAGTAAATCTTCACCGAGTTGACATCCCTAATTATTATTCAAAAGAGACTTTTAAGAAGGGTGTATATAGTGATCCCAATTGATTAAGCTTTCATTTAATACCAAAATAAACCAATTATTAAACTTACTGACAAAGATTTATCAATATGCATGGAACT